GGCCTCACTGTCCTAGCTTTAAGTTGCAGAGGCTAAATGGACAATGCCACAAGAAAGGCAGTCCTCTGGGCCTCAGTGGGACGGTGACTTTCAGACCAAGAGCAGAGCCATCGACCCAGCAGAGCTTCCCACTGATAAGCTGAAACTCCACCAGCTGAGCAGGGAGCCCCGGGAGGCGGCGGAGCAGGAGCCGCAGAGGCCCCGGTGGCCACCAGGAGGGAATCTGCCTCCCACCACTCTGGGCTTCCACGGGGGGTTCTGACCCCCCCCCCGTCCCTGTGCTGGCTCCTAGGTTTGCAGACAGCCTCCTCTGCTGACCCGGAGTGTCCACCTAATCTCCCAACAGGGATGACCTTATTTAGGCGATAGCATCTCGTAGTGAAGGAGCTGGGGGAGGCCTATCTGAACGTGACTGATAACGTGCTTTCTCTCAACCACACCATGAACCAGTTTTCCACCTCGTTTTTTTAAAAATCAGAAATAAATGGAGAAATGGAAGATCTTAGAAGATCTTGACATGGGGGGACTGGGGTCTGTCCTCGGGAGGTCCAGAGCCCTCCTGTGTGCCCAGCGGTTGCACAGGAGCTCAGGTCTGTAAGCAGGGCTGGGGGCAGCTCAGTGGCACAGCCCTTGGCTAGCAAGTGTGAGCCCGGGGTCCCCCCCCCGCCCCCCGGCCCCGTATCACCTAAAAGAAGAAGAGAACTTTTGGGGTTTGGAGAGAGGCACAGAGCAGTGTTGGGTTGAGAAGGTCTCATTCGGGCCAGAGAACAAGGGCAGGCACCCAGGAGGCACCCTGACAGGACCTGAGGACTCTGGCCAACTCGGGGGGATCTCACCCACAGGCGGCTGTGCCGGTCCACTGCCCGTTAACGAGAGACCGGAGCTCCTGTTTGCTGAGGTCTGAAGAAAATGTGCTTGAGAAACACCCCAGACCCAAACCCCAATCTGCTAACCAAAGCACAGGCTTCTCACTGATGGTCCCTACGCGAAACAGAGAGCTCTTTGCACAAACAGCTCATGGCTCCCAAGAGGGTGGTCACCGAGACACCATGAGCTTGGACTGGGAGGCCCCCAGGGGCGATGAACCAACAAGTAGCCTCCAGTCTGAGTGTCCAGGACTTCACATGTGACCTTGGACCTGGCGATAGCCGAGACGCAGCCCACTCCTCATGGGGGAAGACTCTGCACAGAGAGGGCCCCTCACATGACAGGGGGGTGAGAGTGACAGTCACAGTGTGACAGAATCCACAGAGCAGGCTCCTCCTTGTCAGCCAAGGCAGCGGCGTCTGTTTTCTGTACCCACAGGGAGGGAGAGGGAGCCTGCCACCCAGAGCCCCGCTGGCCGCAGTCGCCCTGCCCAGGCCGAGGGGCCCAGAGGCCCCTCCTCTACTTAGAGGACCACGGGCCTCGCTCTGTTGAGAGGGGCTGGGTCCCCCCACCCGAGCTCCCCCTCCACTCTGCACATTCCGGCCGCTGCCACCCCTGGACGCAGAGGAATGCTTGCTCCAGCTGTTCCCCTGCTTGGCCTCCGGGCCGCCTCCCACCCCAGGGCTACTCCTCCCCACCAAAACTCTCCACAGAAAACAGTCTTCCAAGGGAGGCTGAGCCTCTGCTCCTGGAACGGCCTCAGCCCTTCACCCTTCCGCCCTAGACCTGCACTTGGCTCTTCTATGTGGGCCTCACAGGGCCACATGTCCTGCTCTTTGCACAGGGACGTGCTGTGCATTTGGCCGTCTCCTGGAGCTCAGGGCCCACCCCTTTTATCCAGTGTCGGGGTGGTGGCCCAGCATGTGCTCAGTAAGGGCCAAGGGCAGCTGCAGAGCACCGAGGCTTCGCAGTTAGACCCGCAGCCGGGGGACCGAAGGACAGCCACATGCCTCGATGACAAGCCCTGTGTGGGGAACGGGAAGAGCCCTCTGAGGTCGGATTCAGGACTCATGAGCAGGAAGCTGCACTGCACAGACCTGTCAGGAGGGACACACGTGTTCCCCACAGGGCTTGCTGCAGAAATGCGGAGCCGTGGGCCGCACTGACCCCCACCAGAAGCTGGAGCTGTCAAGACATCCACTTGTCAGCGCTCGAGGCTGCGCCAGCCTCTTCTCCATCTCCCAAGGCCGCACGCTGGCAGTCATTTTTAATTGGGCTGTGAATGGTTATTCATCAACATCAGAGCCCGGCCAAGACGAGCCCTGGACTTGAGGAAATGAAGCAGGGGACGTGTCGTTCTGTGCACAGGGGGGGTGAGGCTCCGGGGTAACTCCGACTCACTTGGTGGAGGCTAACTCTCCCCAGGAAGCAGCTCAGCAGGCCTGCAGAATGGGGACCAGGGGTGCCCGGCCCATCTCCAGGAGGGCAGGCGGCCTCCCCCTCAGCTTCCCAGCCCACTGTCCTCAAGGAGAGCTCTTGAACAGGCATAGTTGTAGAACATCTGGAAAGCTTTGTTAGAGACCCCCAGGCTTTGTGCGCATGGTTGTTAGTTGGGGCATGGGTTGGCAGACCCTGGGCATCCATCTCGCACCTGAAATAGAAAGCAGAAGCCCCTTTATTAACACGCTGTTGGGTCATGCCCAGTCCATGTTACGGCCGTCAGCACCCCTGAGCTCCACGCACCCCTCCCCGTCTTCACAGTGGGGAGCAAGCCTGGAGAGGCGCTGCTGCTGTCCTGTTTTGTAGATAGGAAAACACGCCGTGGCCAGGCTCTGTGGCTTCCTCAGGGTCACTCGAGTGGTACAAAGGAAAGGCTGGATGGGGACCTGGACCCCTCCCTCAGGAGACTCTCACTCCACTGGGTGCTGGCTCTCTGCAGGGGCTGAGGCGGAAGGCTGGCTCCTGAGCACGGCGTCCAGTGTCTCATGGATGCACAGGTCAGGTTAGTGAGGGCCACTGTGCTTGGGGAGCTGCACACAAGTCCCTGGTAAGCATGAACTACACCCCCAATCCACCTGGCCGCGCCATTGCTGACCATGAGAACAGGCGCAGAGGGTTTGTGGCCTCTGTTCAGAGCAGTGACCTGCAATGCCCAGACCCTGTGGGAGCTGCGCTCAGGCCTAAGGATAGGCATGGGTGCTGGCAGGAGGCTTTCCGGGTCAGAAAGACCCAGGAGGGGTGCACAGTGACCATGGGTGTGTCGCCACCTAAGACACGCTGACCTGCTCAGGAGCACAGGGAGCCTGGTGAGAACCCACGGAAGGCCAGGCAGCCCCTGGGTTTATGCCTGTTGAAGCCACCCTACCAGTGTGGAGACCAGTAGTCACAGAATTCTACAGCTATGGGGCTCAGACCTCCTCAGCCCCAGATGGCCGCACTCAAGTCACAGTCCAAAGGCAGCAGCAGTGACAACTGGTGGCTGTGGCCCTGGGGCCACACAGCCAGAGCCATCTGTGCCTCTTCTTGGCCAGCCAAGGACCCGGACTGCATGCAAAACCCCATTCGATGTTCTTCTTTATTGGTTTGTCCCTGATTAGACCAAGAAGGGCTCGAGAGAATGTGACCCAGGACTAGCAGAGCACGGGGCTGAACAGGTGTATTGCCAGAAATGGCTCCTTCTTTTCCTACCCACAGCATCAGTGAGAATCCAGTGTCTCTTTAGCCCACACTGGAACAAGCTGTGAGCACACAGCTCCCGGCATCGTGGTTGCCAGGACGACGCTCGCCTCGCGGGGCGTGAGCGCTGTCTCCATGCGCAGATACTGCGAGTCCAAGGTCTCTCTGTGCCACTTAACGCCTCTGACACCTTCCATGGAAGACAGAGCTGAGAGGAGGTGGAGTGGTGGACCCGTGTGCTCCCCCTGCCCTGCACAGGAAGGGGTCCCTGCCCGCCCCGGGCCTGAGCTTGACGTGAGCACACAGAGGGGATTGGGTGTGAGCAAAAGCACTGCTTGTGCAAGCAGAGGCTTTCGGTGTGCTTGTGAGTCAGTGGGTCTCTGTCCAGTGCTTGACCTCGGGAAAGGCATGCAGAACTTGAGCCCAGCCTGCAGCAGAGACAGAGAGCCCACCACAAACCCAAGTGACAGCTCCTTTGTGTTGGCAAGTCTCTTGTGTTTGAGCACCGTCCTGACAATGTCTTCCACTGTGACAGTGGCCTCAGTGGACAGGAGACGAGGAAGAACCACAGAGAAGACACATCACCGTGTGTGTTGGCCTGGCCACGACAGCGACACCCAACTCCTGAAAGTGCAGCCATGGACGTGTTCAGATCCCGTGTAGAAGGCCATGCATTTCACCCAACAGGATCAAAGAAGAGCTCATGCCAAAAGCAAGACCACGTCTGTCCCAGAGCCTCCCTGTTCTGTCCACTCGACCAGCTGGGCACTTATGCCTCCAGTTCATGGAGCACAATCAGAAGCAGGTGCTCATCTGCACAGCAGCCCCTCCCACCCACCCCTGGGCTGCTGACACCGAACCCGCACCACACTCCGCTCTCCCCATGCCCAGCCTCTGCCCAGCTGTGGGCCTCCTGGGCCTGGCCCAAGCCCAGTGCAGGCGACCTCCCTGTGTGCTCTAGGCCACCTGACCCCACTGTGGGCCATCCACAGAGAGAGCATTCAAACAGAAAGGCCCACGGTGGGCGCAGCAACTACGGCGGGAGCTTCCAGCAGGAGGAGAAGGTACAGGAGCTCTGTAATGCCCACATCTGAGGGGCAGAGTGGGCGTCAGCGTCAGATCCAGAGCAGATCCCGTTCCCCAGAAGTCAGTGTGGGAAACAGGAGAGTTATCGCTGGCAAAGTCGCTCCCCACTTCACCACACTCTAAGGCTGAAGGAGAGAAAATCCGAAGGGATAGGAAAGTGTTAATTCTCCACTAGGACTGCGCTGCCACAGACGCCTTTCAGCCTCTCTAGAGCAAGCACCTCGCCCCAAGCACCTCGCCCCAAGTACCTCACCCCAAGTACCTCGCCCCAAGCACCTCACTCCAAGCACCTCGCCCCAAGCACCTCACCCCAAGCACCTCGCCCCATGCACCTCGCCCCAAGTGCCTCACCCCAAGCACCTCACCCCAAATACCTCACCCCAAGCACCTCGCCCCAAGCACCTCACCCCAAGTACCTCGCTCCTAGTAACTCACCCCAAGTACCTCTCTCCTAGCTTGTGCTGGGTGAAGTCTGGGCCCTGCTCAGCATCTCAGGGCCTGTTGAAGGCTCTTTCCATCTGCCTTCCCTGCCTGCCCTGGGGTGACCACCAGCAGAGAGGGGACTCTGGCTTGTACGGAGGCACTGCCCCATCTCTTCAGCCCACGCTCTCTGCTCCTCAGGCTGCAGCCTCAGAAGTAGAGCGTGTTCCCACTACTGTGAGCCTGCACCAGCCCAGTCCTCCCCAGCGCTACTCAAACCTGAGGCCAGCTGACCCTTGGTTGTGGAGCTGTCCTCTGCACCGTGGGCATCCAGAGCACCCTAGGCCTCTACCCACTAGAGGACTGTGGCAGCCCCAGGCTGGAACAAACACACATCTCCAGACCTTGCCACCCAGCCAAGGACCAGTGGGCGACCTACCTGGGCCACCCTGGAGCCTGACCAGGCTGACCAGGGCCAGCACGTCAGGGTTCCAGTTGATGGGAACCCGTGTCAGAATTCCCAGGGGCAGGCTGTCGACAGGCAGTTTCCTAGGCTCTATCCCAGGAAAGCTCTGCTAATCTCCGGAGGTGAGGGTCGGAACCCTGTAGGGGCTAGGCCTCCACAGCTGGGCACTGCCCTGGAGCAGTGGAGTCCCCGGCCTGGCAGGAGCCCTCAAGGAGTGGCGGCAGGTTCCCCCTCAGGTGCAGGCCTCTCAGGCTGGGCTGCTCTGGGAGGGGAAGGCAGGCGAGCAGGGGCCGCAGCCTGGACGACCTGGAGGAGCCCCGCTCTGTTTCTATCAGGTCCCCCAGCGGGCACCTCCAGAGGTTCTCAGCGGCCCACGTTGCGGGGAAGGAAATGACATGAGTTAAAACACTTTTCTGAGACAACAAACAGAAAACTCGTTTTTAAGAAACCTAGATTCTTAGTGTATGGAAATAAACCATCTTTATTATTCCATGTAGCAAAAGTGCCATCTGAGACCCAGTCCTGGCGTTCATCCGCGCCCCTCCCCCTTGCTTCTGACCTCCTGGGCAAGAGAAAGGAGCTGGATGCCTGGGGACTTCTTTGGTCTTCTGCAAACCTTTCTCAGATGGCCCGAAGCCCCAGCCCCAACCCGCGCTGTGGCCAGATTTTGCCACAAACTCCTGTCTCCAACAGCCCTTGGCAGAGGGAAGGTCTGCAGCTGACTTAGAGTGATCGTGACTCAGCCTGAGGCTGAGCCCTGAGGCTGGCACCAGCTCCCCTGCAGGAGGGAGCCAACCCAACCCTGGACCAAATTAGGGTGTCGTGAGCTAGACAGGACCAGGAGGGTGGCCATGTGTAGAAGTTGGCAGAGTCTGACCCAGCCACCGGCCTCAGAGCTGCCAGGACCTGGAGGAGCCTCAGGCTCCGGGGGAGCGCCCCGTCCAGGCTGGGAGTGGGGCAGCAGGTGGCCTGCCTCCCACCTGGGTCTCAGGTTCCGGGGGTCTCTGAAGGCCACCCTGGAGGTGCGTGGGGTGGGTGGGAGGTGGGCCTGCAAGGCCTCAGGTGCAGCCCGGCCTGTCCACTTACCTTGTGCTGCCCTTCCTCAAGGCTGACCAGCCACACTGTACGTCACCACACAGAACCGTCGGCTCTGCTTTCCCACAGGGTGTGCTGATTGGACTCCAAACAACAGCTGATTTGGGTTGAAAACACTCCTGTATTTTCAGATGAAATAATATTAATTTGGACAGCGAGCATATGATCAGAATTCCTTGTAAATATTTAGATCAAGTGCCTGGGGAAGAAGGAGGCCTGGTTGGTTGTAATTAATCATGGATAATTCATTACTCGTGGTGTACATCTGGGCTGCAGGAGCTCCATTGGGTGCACAATCTGAAGAGGCTGCAGATCCAAGCCGGGCCTAGGGAACGAGGTGGCCTCTCCTCGGCGCTGCAGTGATGAGCAGAGGTCCAGGGTTCGGTGCTCGCAAGCCCCTCAGAGGAGAACAGGAGCCGGTCCTGGCCAGGGCCGGGCTGTCAGTCATTCAAGACACTGTGCAGCTCAGAGCTGGAGGGGAAGAAGAAGGCAGGGCTGAGGTAGTCAGAAAGTCTCCTGCAACCTCAGTCCTCCTGCTCGTCCACAGGAGAGCTGCTAGAGTCCCTCTGCCTCCCTAGGAGGACGCGTGGGCAGAGGCAGGGCAGAGCATGGTCCTCCCTCAGACCAGGCAATCCAACTGGTCAGATGCAGGAGCAGCCAGGCACATCTGCTCCCATGGCCAGAGGGAGGGAGGCTCCCTGCATACAGCTGCCCACCAGATGTGTGGAAAGTGGACAGGAAGGGCGGGCAGGAGTGGGGGCTGCAGACCACCCTCCACAGGAAGAGCCTGGAGAAGTCTGGGGGGGGGGGTCAGACTGTTGCCTCAGGAGAAGAGTGTGCAATGTGAAAGCAGATTTCCTTCCAGGGACTGCAGTTCCCAGCCTGCAGGATGCCATAGACCCCTCCAGCCTGCTCCTCATGCCCATACCATCTCCTCCTTCCTCCACTCCTCTGTCACGGGGCAGTTTAGAAAGTGGACATCTCCTACATTCCCTGTGACCACCCTCATGCCATCTCCCCACTTCCATCTTTACCTGAAGTCCGCAGAACTAAAATGCAAATCCAACCCTTGCTCACTTTGGAAAACTCTTTTATGGAAGACGCTGAGCCCCAGCTGGGAGTCCTCATGAAAGTCCCCTAACATTGGCCTCAGCCTCACTGGTCGGAGCCTCCTTCTCCGTCGCCACGCCCACCACCCGCAGGGCTCGCCTCCTACCAGGTCTCCAGTGTCCACACCCTCTCCCAGGTGCTCAGTTCCATTGGCACCCCCAGATCAATGCTCACGAAGCCCTCAGTCATCCCAGGACGTGCACAGAGAGCGAGCCGTCGGCCTCAGGGGCACAGGTCCTGGTGGGGCCCAGGGGCTCCAGGTCCTGCTCCAGGCCCCACCCTGTGAACAGAGGTCTCCTCAGGTCTGGTTAGTGCTGCGCTTCCCACATTTTTGTGCTGCTGTGGGTGAGCCCACCCTTGGAAACAGCCCACGTGAGTGTGGCAACTCCCTGGTGCTCCTCAGAGCAGGAAGCCCCGAGTGCCCTAGGGAGGGCCGAGGCAGCCCTGCTGGCCGCGGCTGCCCCCAGAGACCAGCAGGGGTTAAATAAGGTGCGCTCTCGGGGTGCTGAGGCGGGAGGATGGGGCATCCACAGCTACCTAGGTCCTGTGGACTTGTGAGACCCTGTCTCAAAATACAAAATAAAATAAGGCCCAGGAAGAAAAACAAAACAGAAAAGAAGAACCCGATGAAACAAGGGGCCTGCTGACGACCAGTGGGACCGGCCCAGATGGCAGGCCCTGGACTGGGCTCTCACAGTGAGCCACGACACTGGGTCATCCGTGGGCGTTGGGTCCAGATCGGCCTCTGTGAGGGGCTGGGCCGCACCTGCTGGCGCTCCTCAGGGCCTTTTCTGTGGTGATAACTCGCCACCACAGACGGGGCTCTCTGAAGAGCAGCCTGACTCTGCTCCTGTCCTGGAGGGGCTCTGGGTGGCACCTGGGGAAGGCTTCCGCTGCAGCGCCCTGAGGCAGGCCGGGCATCTCACGGCAGAGACAGGGAGGTCAGCTGTCTCTCTCCCTTCTCTTAGACCACCAGGACTCAGTGACGGGGCCACCTGTGATCTACCTAACCCCGATCACCTCCCGGGGCCTCACCTCTCCCACCACTACGGACGGAGCCCACCCTCTTGGTCCCTCGCGGTGGGGATCAAGTTTCAGCCTCAAGCCACAGCATAATGGAAGGCCCTAACAGAACCAAGTCTGAGGCCCCTGGAGCCACAAGCCACTCTGCAGCAGACCGTCACCTTCAGACCTGACCCTCTGTCGGCTCTTCTGCCATCCCACCCTGAGCAGCTCAGTCACGCCAGCCTCTGTGACTGCATGAGCCATTCTTCAAACTCCTCCTACACTCTGTGGTTCATCCACTGGGGATGGGGCAAGTCCCCATCAACCCACCGTCAGTTGGAAATAGCACATGTTCAAAATGCTTTCCGCACACAGCCGGCCAGACACGTGCTTGGCCAGCCCACTCATGCATTCCCAGGACTTACCTGGGCCTGAGCTTGGGAAAGTCCTCCAACATGAAGTGACTCCTGGGATTCACCCAGGGGTGCACTGATGGCGCGGCCCCTGGCCCTCCTAGGGTAAGGGTGGGTGACCAACCCCCTCACATCACGACTCTACTCCACCCACCCTCCAGTAGCTCTGCCTCTCTGGGAAGCCTGATGAGGATCTGTCCTGCAGCCCCCCCCCCCCTCCAGAGTGAAGGTTGGCCCCGGGAGTGAAGGTTGGCCCCTCTAGTTCATGGAATTGGTGGACGTGGTGGGGAGAGGAGAATCGGCCTCCCTATCTGGGTGCCACTCACTTACCTCCGACCTGCAAAGGCCTCCAGACCCCCCCAGTGCCCTGCACTGTGCCTCCCCTGCACTGTCACACCTGGTTCAGAAACGGTGCAGGTGTTTGTGAGCTGCCCTCCCACCTCTGTCCAAGGCCAGCTGAGTTCCCCAACACAGGAGGCACTAGATGACCCCGTGACATACAAAGCATGAGACAGGCCTGTGCCACCTGGGAGGCCATGGCTATGTGGTGAGCAGATCTGCTGTCCTGGGCTGTGAGGGAGAAATCTGCTGTGGGGGAGTGTGGCTAGCAGGCCACCAAAGGCTCCCTACGAAACGCCCCACACCCGCTCCTGTGCTGGGCTGGTTAATCCCCCTCGCGGAGAGCTAAGGGCTGCTGGACACAGACCTGCTGGGCGGGGACTCGGGCTGTGTGACGCTCCTGTGTTAGCTCTGAGCAGGCTTGTGACAACTAGCTGATAGCCAGGGCAGTGTACTCAAGAGACTTGGCCTAGATTCTCATGGAAAGACCCGAGTCACCATCCTCCCTGTTGTGGTCAGGATACGAGGTGTCCCCCAAGGGCTCCTGTGTGAGACAGTGCAAGAGTGTTCAGAGGAGAGATGACTGGCCGGATTGTAACAGCTGTAACCTGAGCAGTGGATTAATCCACTGATGTGAATTAGCGGGTGGTGACTGTCGTCAGGCAGGGTGTGGCTGGAGGAGGTGGGTCCCTGAGGGGTGCCTGGGTTTATGTCTGTCCCTGCTGAACCGAGCTCTCTCTGCTTTCCTCCCCTCCTGTTCTGCCTCACCTTGAGTCCCAGCTATGGAGTCCGATGACCTTGGATTTACCCTCTGACACAGTAAGGCCAAATAAAGGTTCCCTCCTCCAAGCCATTGGCCACAGTGATGTGAAGCTGAATAAAACAGGAGCCCTGGAAACATGAGGCCCAGAGACCTATGTTGACGGGTTCTGTGCCCGAAGACGGTCAGACCTGGGGGGGGGGGCCTGAAGCAGCCCGACACTAAAGCACTAGGGACACCCGTGTGGAGCTAGAGCTGAGTGGGGATGTGTCTTGGGTGCTGATCTGGGAGGGCCTGGGTCTTGGGCAACATCTGTACCGTTCTGTTTGGCTGATGGACCTGCCGTGGCCCACCGAAGAGGGCTGGGGTTTCACACTGCTCTCCAGGGAGAATCGAGTCAGAGCTGTGTACACCCCAAGCCAAGAGAGATCAGTCACCTGAGAACGTCCAGGGAGCAGATTTTGGTTCAGTAGCTCATTAAAAATGACAAAGCTCTTTAACAATTCCAGCTGTCCCCAAATGCTGAAGTCTGTCTGGAGCCGTGGCAAGTCCCTCGCTCAAGGAGTGCGCAGGGAGGCAGGTGCGGCTTCAGGAGACCCACCCGAAGGGGATTGCTAAGTCTGCTGTGGCCCCTTCCAAGTCCAAGGGCCATGGAAAGACCCAAGTCACCTCCCTCCCTGAGAACTGTCACTTCAACCCTGTTTGCTCCACAGTTCTGCACAGGTTTGAGCCCAGCAGAGCCGCAGAGGTCCACCTCACACCAAGAACAGGAGAGCAGGACATGCCCGCTGAGCCTGCTCCCTGCCTGAAAACCAGGCCCAGAAGGTCCAGTGGGGTGGTACCAGCCTAGCCACTGGCACATCGGGCACACAGAAAATATCAGTCCTCGTCCTCTCTTGCCAAAGGCAGGGAAATCTGTGAAATCAGTTGTGACACTCGTAGTTTGGGACACCAAAGAAGAGGAAGGCCTTCTAACAGTGCAAGGTGGTCTTACCTTGCGACCGTCCATAACCGAGCACCCAGGAAAAGTGAAGAGAAGCTGAACTTCCCTGGACCATCTGAGTGAGAACAGGGCTGCTCCCAGGGTCAGCAGTCTCCCTGGGGCGGCCACAGAAATGGTCCTGCCTGGTCTGAGCACTGCCTCTACCACTAACTCGCTGATAGCCAGGGCAGTTTACTCAAGAGACCTAGGCCTGGGTTCTCAGCTGTGACAGGACCAGGTGAGCGCATGCCCAAGCAGGACTTAGAAAGCTTTCCAAGCTCTCAGCTACCGTGGGGGATCCCTTTAGATGGGAGTTGGCCAGCTGAGGCGCTACCTCCTCTTGCCAATGAAGCCTTCCCCGGCCCTGGGCGGGGCTTCAGGCTGCAGTGGAGGAGAGACGCTGCAGCCCACAAGCGTACAGCACACTGCCTGTCCCTGCACTGACAGCGCTGGCCGACCCCATCGCAAGTGCAATTCCCACTCCAAGATGGCTCAGCATGTGGGAGGGCCATCTGCGCTTGCCTGGAGGCCACTGTCTCCATCAGGTCCTCTTGGGCAAGGATGCTTCAAGCATGGGAGGGACAGAGCTCCCAGCTGTCCTCCAGGTGACTCAAACAACGAGGATACCAGGCCCCTCAGTCCCCTCCACTTCCCAGCTTCCGACCTTTGGACAAGGAACTGAACGATTCCCTAATGACTTTTGGTCCTGGGGATCGAACCCAGGGACACTGTACCACTGAGCTACATCCCCAGCCCTGTTTATTTTTTATTTTGAGACAGAGTCTCACAAAGTTACCCACGCTGGCCTCAAACTTGTGATCCTCCTGCCTCTGCCTCCCTTGACACTGGCATTACAGGCGTGTGCCACCATGCTCAGCTGAAATATTCTTAATTAGTGAGTTTAATTATCACATTAACACTCACACTTGAATTTTTTAGTTTTATCATTTTTTATGCCATGATTCCAATTAATCGTGTTGGGAGACATTGAGCGGAGCTTCACAGAACAAGGTGGTGGGCTTGACGTACAAGGCTGCTGTAAGGAGCCTCCTCAGAGAGGCCAGGTGCTGGGAGCAGGTGGGCGCTCTGCGCAGTTCTTCATGCATGACTCCCAGTGTGGGCCCAGGTGTGCACAAGGCAGGGGCCAGACACCGTGTCTTGAGTCCAGGTGACGTCTGGGAACAGCCACAGGTGTGCACTTCTAACTTCCATGTGCTCATTGGCCTCTTGACACTGCTGGTGAACTTACTCTAAAGGGCCATCTTTTTGTCGTTTCTGTTTACTGAAAACCCTAGGAGTGGGCTTGTCCTGGAGTCTCTTGTGCAATCTCTTGGAGTGACGGCCTGAAGGCAGAAAGCACAAAGCACTTCATGAGACAGCGTGGCCACACGGGAAGCATGGTCACGAGTCACAGGCGGTGGCTTACCCAGAGCCTCTGACTGCTCACTCAGACCTTGGCGGCCAGCCGTCCTCTGCTGGACCACCATGGAGGGAGGGGCACTGACCTGCATGCAGCAACTCCCAGTGCTGACTGCGCGGTGGACACAGGACTCTGCCTGGTGGTGGGTGGGTCAAATGCAGGTTGAGGCTGGGAGCTGGTGGGGCTGCGTTTATTTTCCTAATCAAAAATGTGACAGTAAAAGGTGGCTGTGAGTAACTGCCTCAGGGCTGCAGGGGTGAAGGGCTGGTCCCTGGAGACGAGGGAATGAGGAAAGTCCAATACTGCAGAAATCCCAGGTGTAAAGCCCAGAGAATGCCAGCAGCCCACGTCCCAGCCGGACCCCTCTGGGTGGGTCAGCCCTGCGCCTGCACGTCTCATGTGTCTGTATCTGGACAACCGTGATAACCTGAGGACAAGAGGCGAGCACTCATGACTTACCCTTGGTAGCCCCAGAATCGCTGGAGGTGATGTATGGCTATCCACACAGCTCAGAACTCACCTAGTGCAAAGTGGAGAAAAGTGGAGAAGCCAGAAGCCAGAGGGGGTGGGCGGTGATGAAGAGCCGCCTCGGGGTGTCAGTGGTGGGTCCTATGTGAGCGGTAGGCATGGTCTACCATGTGGCTCCATCGTCTCTCACCAACTAGGTATTCAGTAGCACAGGGGAGAGGAGGAGCCGCAGGGCGGGCGTTCTGTGCTGACGGTGCCCTCCGAGGTCCAGGCGTGCACCGTGCCCAGGTGGCCTTGCTGCAATGTGGTGAAGGAGCAGGGAATGGCCTTGCATCTAGTCCCCACCAAGAGGACAAAAGGAACCTTACAAAAGAAAAATGTAAGAAACGATCCACTTCGTTCGGTTCTGATGGACACTATGTAAGATCAAGTAAGAGCAAGGGCCAGCGTGTTTGTCCTCCAGGGGTCTCAGGGAGGCTATCCTAAGCCACGCGGAGCCTCGCCTTGGGCCACAGAAACGCCCTTCTGCCCTCAGAACAGACCTCGGAGGGTCAGCAGGCGTGATCGCTCAGGCCCTCGGTGGGGATTACGATGACGGGACAAGTGGGGGAATATCCAACAGCTGAGGAGGCGAGGCAGAGCTAGAGGTGACAGGAGACGCCCCCGTCTACCGCCAGCTCCTGGGGGCGTGAAGTCATGGCTCCACAGGCTCCCGGATGGCCTCGTTCTCCTGCCCGTTCCCACGTGGACCGGCTGCTGCCACGGGCTCCTCCTGTGCTGAGGACAGGGAGTGTGGGGAGGCCCGGGGCCACCAGCTGGCAGGCCACAGAGGCCCGGAGCACACTGAGCCTGCACCCCAGGTGCCCTCGAGGCGGGAGCTTCAGGGAGAACTTGCCTTGGTGCGAAGGCACCTGGACGAGCGCTGGGGGGCAGAGAACGTGGGTGGAGTCCCACCTTCCCACCGGCTCCTACCGCTCCTCCACTCCACAGGCGTTGTTGAGTGTCAACTGAACTCCGGCTTCCCAGAAGGAACATGAGACCCTGGATTCTGGCTTCCCAGAAGGAATGTGAGACCCCGTCTTACTGAGCTTCTCTTCCGAGGGGAGAGGGTAAGAAACACAGGGACGGCCACCCACCGCCATGGCTCCTGGACGGCACACAGCGGCCTGCGCGGCACCCAGTGTCCACCAGCCCAACCCCTGCTCCTCAGCCTCATCCTCCTCCCTTTAGCCACCCTGCCCCACACTCTCAGGCCCGCCCCGAGGGGCCCATGGCCTGGACCCCACCAGGCAGAATTCCCATCACTGTCAGATGGGGTGGCCCAGGGTCTAGTCCGAGGCCAGCCAGGGCCACGTCCTGCTGCAGCCATCGTCCTGAGCATGTGGAGAGCCCCCACAGCAGGCGCCTCCGAGAGGAGGAGAGGAGCTTCCTGGTGGCCAGTCTCTCCCAGGCCCAGGTAGAGCGGCCACTCCCGCCCGCCTCAGCCTCGTGGGTGTGTTTGTAATTTGGGAAGAGACTGCCAGCAAGGGACAGAGGAAGAGCAGACATGGAGGCAGCCGGGAGACATGGGCAGGGAAGGTCGGGACCGAGAGCTCCTCAGGGGTCGTCCCCTCTGGGAGCCAACCTCCCCTCAGGAAGTGTCATTGCTTCTGGGGTGACATGGGGTGACATCTCTTCTGGGAGCTGACATCACTTCAGGAGGTGACATCTTGTCTGGGAATGACATCTTCTCCGGGGATGACATCACCTCTGGGAACTGACAACTCCTCTGGGGGTGATACTGATTCTAGGAGGGACACCAGCTCTAGAAGTGACATCTCTGGGGGTGCCATTGTCTCTGGGGGTGCCCTCACCTCTGGAGTTGACATTTCCTCTGGGAGTGACATCTTCTCAAGGGGTGACATCTCTGGTGGCTGACACTGCTTCTGAGGGTGACATTGCCTCAGGAGGTGACATCTCTGGGTGATATTGGCTCTGGGAGGGACATCAGCTCTGGGAGTGACACCGGCTGAGACACCGCCATGTGACTAGCTAGGGGAAAATACTCCAGGAAGTGGCAACAAAGGCAGAGCTGGGCCCGGAGTGGCTGGGCCTGGGGACAGAGGGGGACCCCAGAGAGCAGAAGCCGGGCCTGGGCAGGGCCGGGCAGGGCCGGGCACGGCAGGGCAGGGAGGGCCCTGCAGGCATGGGTGAGCCAGGGGATGCAGCTGTCAGAGCTGACCCTTGACCTGGAGCAAGGGAGAGTCAGGAGGATTTCCAGCAGAGGAGAGACACGTCTCATGGGCCACCAAGGACCACAGCTGCTACCAGAGCCCAGCAGGAGCTGAGGCAGAGTGGGCCTGACTGCATCAGGGATCGGGAGAGGAGGGCTGGGGTTCCGGAACTTGCTGGTGGAGCCAGTGCACCTGCAGGTGGCCTGGTGGGTGGGAAGACCCAGGGTGACGCCAGACTCTGGTGCGAGGGTCTGGCGGTGGGCGCCGCACTGGCTGAGAACCCAGCGTTGGTGGGTGCGCTTGGCCCTGTCTCTTCGGACCTGACTGTCTGAGCACGTCACAGCACAGGTCAGTCTACAATCTGACAGCTTATTAATCACCCTGAGTCCTGTCTCCCAGCGACGAAAATACAGGCTCTAATATGGACACCAGGTGAGGTAGCCAATATGGAAGTGACCAGGCTGAGCCCAGCAGGTAGCAGATGCCCAATAAACGCTCCATCAACCTTAGACTTGAGAGTCAGGGCAGTGTCCAGAAGGGGCAGCCCACACCTGGACGGAGGGTCCAACAACTGTCAGTCACAGCCACTTGACAGGTTGCCTGAGTCAAGCCACTGTGTCCCCTGGGGTTGAGACCCACCTGGGCATGTTGGGTAAAGGGGCAGAGTGGGCCTGCCCGATCCTGCTTGCACCAGAGCCAAGGGCCTCCAGGGAGAGACGCCATGTGAGAGAAGGCATCAGGGGACGCGTCAGAGATGCTGCCGATGACGTGTGTCTCCAGGAACGGAGCCTCCCGGAGTCCCAGTGTGGAGAGAAAGCAAAGCAAAACCCAAAAGAGCTGCTCCACTCCGCCTCCACAGACCCAGGAGAGGAGCCTTCAGCTGTCTGAGCACACCCTGGTTCTCACCACTAGAGCGCCCACGTGCCCGCGGAGCACCCGGGGCATCCCAGAGCCGCCCGGCCAGCAGACAGCACCAGCAGGTCCAGCAGAATGCAGGTGAAGGACAGGGCTGGCTGGTAGGCACGGGCCCCTAGAGTCATGGAGTAAGTGCAGGGCCTTGAGAAGGCAGGGGCAAGCCGTCAGAGGTGGGGAGGCATCGCTGCCAGGGTGAGATCCAGGGGACCTATTAGTCCAGGCGCGATGCCCCGGGAATGGCAAAGAAACCAAAGCTCCCAGGAGCGCCGCAGGAAGGGGGCTCCTGCAGAGCAGGTGGGGCTGAGCCTAGACGGGAGCAGACAAGAGCTTCTGCCCCCAGGACCAGGTGTCCCCTCTCCTGGGAACCCAGCAGCGGCTCTGCACAGGACATCTGGCCTGCTCCTCCCGCACAAGCCCTTTTAAGGTGGCCTCTCTCCATTGGCACTGACCCTCCTGACACCTTGCTCAGCTACCGTTGCCTCACAAGTTCACAGAAAATTCGTAAAGCAGAGAAATAAATATGTCCAACAGCCTTGCACAACCAACTACTGCTGCAAATGTCTTCTCTGCATGTTTCTTGAAACTTTCAGGTTTTAAAACACATTCTTTTATAATAAAGAAGCTAACTTTACAGGATTTTTAAAGAAGTCACAGATTCCCCCATGGAAATGTCCCAGCGGAACCTGACCTAATGAAGCTCCCTCACCTGCTCCCCACCCCCCAGGTGGCACGCACTTCAGGGTCATGAGTCACATCCCGACATGCGGCAGACCCTGTGTGGGTGGGCCAGCTCCTCAGGGTGCCCCACTTCTGAGAGCAGCTCCTCTTCAGAGAAATGGGTCTCCTAGACCAGGGCCCCAGGGCCCGGCTAACTGCACCTGGATGGGCTCACCTGGCTGATTCACGTCAGATTCTCTGAGTGGCCGCACTAGGGCAGGGAAAGGTCAGTACCAGTGGGCAGGCTTCTCCTGCCACAGGCACACACTGGGGGGAAATGGGCATGCAGACAGATGGAGCAGCTAGAGCCCTGTCCAGGAGGGTCCTGTCGCTGCCCACATTTGCTGCCTCTGGGACTCCCTTCACAGCTTCCCTAAGACTCTCCACAGTGAGAGAGGCTAATTTCCACACTGGTCAGCACACCCAGAGCAGGGATGCCACCGACACCGAGAACCTCTGAGCCAACACTAACCCACGATCCCAGGGTGGCGCCGACTTCTCACGGTGCGAAGCAGGTCCTGCACTCACCCAGGGTCAGACTCCAGGAAGTGGCTGGTTTGGGAGTCAAAGCCGGGATCTCGGCTGGGAGCCCGTCCTCCAAGCTGCACACATATGACATCACAGTAGAGGCTTCGTCCAGAGACCAGCTGGGCTGCAGATTCCCAAGGCTCTCCGAGAACTGAGCCTGCGGCCACGACTCAGCCAGCGTCTCTCTGACCCTGGTCATCAGAGGTGCAGCTACACAGCCTGCAGGCGCAGGGGCATGCCCTGGGGAAGGCAGGTGGTGAACTCCTGCAGTTCACTGGGGAGGAACAGACGGCTCTGGAAATCCAGGGGCCCACGCGGAGCCTGGACACGCCTTCCCCGGTGTGTGAAGCTGAGCCCCTGAGCCACCTCCCTGAAGATCCTGCAGGAGGGCATCCGAATGACCTCTTCCTTATCAGCTGGCCACAGTCACCTCCCCCCAGGACCAGAGTGACCTCCTGAGGGTGTTTTCCTCCCAAAGTCTGCTGCTCAGAGCCCCACAGGCCCCTCACGTCACGCGAGCATCCTTGATCTGTCAACCCATCCTAGCGTCAAAACAGCCCTCACATCCGTGGCGTCCCAGAAAGCCCCGAGGAAGGATCACTCCAACAGTTTTTTTCATCCTGTCAATATTTTCGATAAACAGCCCTTGCTCGAGTGCTCTCAGGAATATGATTAACATAATTCCCTGCACTTCCTCATAACTTGATGTTTACAAGGCCATCTCGGCAAGCGCGCAGTGCGGCTGACTGAGCTCGGCGGGCGCGGACACACGCTCCTCTTTACTTCAACAGTAGCATTGCTGCCAGAGCCGCAGCACTCGGCACGCCAACCCTGACGTTCTCGGGGGCGTTCGGATGAGGAGAAGGAGCCTGTGGCCCCTGGGGCTGCCAGCTGCACCCACCCTTGCAGGGCTGGGTCGGCTCCTCATTTCCCACAGTGGTTGCTATTCCCCTCTTCCAGAAAGTTCTCCGTCTCCCCACCCTCTGACAGCAGAGCTGGTTCGCTCCTTCCCTGGGCCACCTGGGCCACAGTCACACTTTCTAAATGTTTGAGCACTTATCAAAATAAATGTGCCAACCTACCTGCTTCTTGTACTAAGTTGTCACTAAGCTACTCAGGGCCAGGAACAAAGACACACTGTCCTTTGTGATCCCAGCCACTCACATAGTGACAGGTCACCGTCTCCAGGACCTGGTGTCTGTGCCCCTCTGGTTCCGCTTGCCTTGCACGTGGACTGGGCCCGGTGACTCAGTTCTAAGGTAAAGCAGAGTAAGTGCCACACCTGAGATTAGGTCACAAGAAGACCCTGCTCTGGGTCTTCCTCACCAGTTCGGGCGTCCAGAGTCTTCTCAGGACAGCCTGCTGCCATCTCGAGCCAGAGGCCCAGGAACCTGGCAGCAGCCAGCCAGCACCCGAGGTCTTCAGGGCTACAGGGGTCCTCCCTGGGCTGCCTTGAGAGTGCAGCAGCCTGTGGTGCCCAGTCAGGGGACCCAGTGAGCCTCCTTGGGTTCCTAAGCTGGGAGACACAGACGGTCCCTGACGTGCAGAGTCTTGATGATTTTTCAGCTTTTCCAGCGTGAAACCCATACATATCTGATAGAAACCATATATTGAATTGTGAACTCTGCAGTTCCCCAGGCCAGCCGTACGCAGTCCACATGAGCCTCCCGACAGTGCTGGCCCCGTCAGCCCCAGGATCACAAGGGAAACATAAGACCTCGGGGCACTGCGTGCCGAGCTCAGGGGTGGGGGCAGCGTGCACTCGGTGATGCTGACGTTGCTGTGGGTTTACCTGTGTGCAGCCCCCCACCCCACCCCACCTCCACCAATGTCGAGAAGTGTCCATCTCAAGGCTTCTGCGTCAGGCCCCCAGCTCTGCAGTGACTGATCACCCAGGACACTCACCATGCCCAGCTGTTGGTCGGACTGAAGCGAGCTGAGCAGTGTCCACCCCCACATGAGGCTTCAGTATTCAGGCAGATGGCGCGAGAGGAAGCAGGTCCCTCAGTCGTACACCCCCACCCTGATCCACGGCTCAGCTCTCTGTATTCCTTTTGAGGCACACAGCAGCACTCCAAGGGGTTCTATGGGGGAAACAGAAAGCAAAATAAACTTCTGTTTGCATTAGCTTTTGATATATTTGAGGATGGGGGCCACAGATGAGGCTCTTAGGTACCCAACCCTTGGGGCAAGTGCTAACGAGGGGCCTGTGTTGCTGGCACTACCCTCAGAGATCAGGAAGCGTGTTGTGTGTCCTACGCATCTAATTTAGAGCAGTGTCAAGGGCTCTGTATGGGATTCAGGCTTAGAAAGGATGCAGGAGATCAGCTAGTCCAACCTCCTTCTGAGACTTCACTGCCTGCTGAAGGGGACGCTCGAGGAGCAGCCCAGACTTCCAACCTTGGTGCCCTTGGGACAGCACACGCTTCTTTGGTCCTGGAAGCCAAAATAGCTCCTGTCACTCCCTGGGAGACCCCGAGCAAGGCCTGCGCCCGGCTCAGGGCAGGCTTACTGAGGGACTGTGCGTGCTCTCCACGCATGTGCAGACCAGACGAGACCTCCTCTCAAACACTGTGACAAACATACACAGCACAAGTAGAACTCTGCACCCCAGGGGACAGCAACAGAAGCCTGCATTTTAGTGATTCTTCAGCTTGGCTAATGGCACCATCCTGGTCTGAGGGAAGATTCGGATGCTGCCACTGTCACAGACCGGAGGACTTCACCCGTCCCAGGTCATCACCTGGGTCTTCTTACACTCAGTTGTAACTGTACTGAATACACCTGAGAAGACTTTGATTATGTCATCTGATGACATAATCAGACGATTGACCTTGAAGACACCTTTCTCTTCTACAGCCAAGTAAGAACTGAGAACCAGCCTCTACCCAGCTCTAAGCCAGGTGGATGGGGCCCAGGGGTCCTGAGGGGGCTACTGCCTTTCCCACAATGTGGGAGAGAGATCACTCACCCTGTGGGATTCGCCGTGGTGTGGGAAGTGGCTCTTCCCTCTCTTCCGTAGCTCTCAGTGAAGTTCCACTTACACAGGTTTCTAGTACAGCCCCAGGTCAGGCGGCAAACAGGAATGGTGCTCTGGACAGGTCAGCAGCAGAGACGCTTACCCCCCCTTGGCTGACCTCAGCTTCCTGCTGCCATCATCCCGTGACCTTGGGAAGCAGACATCCAGACCCTGCAGCCTCCCCCCTGTGAGCAGCTGTGGCCCAGTTGGAAAGAACATGGAGAAGGAGGCTCTGACTTCCTCTAACAGAGCGGAGGAGCAGCCGCACTGGGGAGCAGAGAAGTGGGGGAGAGTCCTCCCCCATGTGTCCTGGGGGTACCCTCAACTCCAGACTCTTCAGGGTAGCAGAGGGAGCTCGGGGCAGGACTCCAGCCACCAGCCCACTGCCTTGGTGGAGAACCAGGATGGTGCATAGGTCCGTGTCCGATTTCCAAAATAGATTATCTGGAAGTGATTTGAAAACTCCCTCTTCTAATATGCTCTTTGATCCTGTCCTACTGTGACAGTCCATAATCAAATGGTGACAATGACTCTTGGATATCTTCGAGGCACACCTGAGCCAGTTCTCATTCTCAGGATATAGTGAATGGTGAGCCGGGATGGTGAGTGTGTAAGGAGGCGGCTAGGCAGGGCCACTCCCCTGTGTCCACAGGCTGTTTGCTCACCCCTGCCCAAGGCCTGCCCCCTCTCTACACAGCTGCTGAGTAGAAATCTTTCTCCAGAGGAATAAGTACTGGCTGCTCTGGTGTCCACTGTGGACACTGTGTAATCTGATGTCCACTGTGGCCTCAAGCAGTGTATGTGGAGCAGGACACTCTAGAACATGATCCAGACTGAGGCAGGAGCATGGGATGGGCAGTGACCGGCACCACATACACCTTGGTGTTCATGTTAAGTCACTGGTCAAGAAAGCTCTCTCCGAGGAAGAGGCATTTAGTCCAAGGTCAGCCGGGAGGAAGCCCCAGCTGTGTGGAAGTCAGGGGATAGGCAAGAATCCAGAGCCATAAATGTGGAGCAGAGACCGTGAAACAGACTGTGCTCTGCACGTTCAGGGGACCCGCCTAGGCTCCAGTACCCAGCAGGCTCTCTACATATTTTTGCTAAATAAATAATTTTTAAGAAGATAAGTGTGGCTGTGGGTGAGATTGGGAGATGTGGGGCCGTAATTCAGGGTAAGCAGATTGGGTCATGCTAAATGGGAGAGGAGCCAGGTGACAACGAGGTCTTGCTGTAGTCTTCCAAGGTCCTGTGGCTGTTCCGGGGGAGGGAGTGCAAGGTAAGAGCAGATGGGGCACCGCACCCTGGGGCTCCTAGTGTGAGTGGCCCAGAACACCTCTAGCTGCTGGAACCTGCGAAACAATTTATTGAAAGGAACAATAACTAAGCGTCCGAAGGGGCACCAAGACCCAGGCTCCATCAACCAAGCCTAGAATAGAATCCCAGATCATGACCTGGGTCTGACCCTGCCCCAGGCAGCTCCACACTGGACTGGCTGGAACCCAGAACTTTATCCTCCCAGTCCACCCACCCCAGAGGAAGAACCTTCCTCCCCCACCGCGGTCCTGCCCCCAAGGACCCAGCACTATAAGTTTCGGCTGGGAAATCTTCCGCTGCTCTTACGGAGGTTCCCAAGTATGTGAAAAACCACTTTTCTCCTAATACTTCCAAAATCATCCTTTGTCTTGATTTTGACGGTTTGATCAAGATACTCTTGACATGGATTCCTTGTGCCTCTTCTTGTTTAGTGTGTTGGGATCTGCCTCTTAATCCTCCTGTGGGATGGGACACGTGTTCTACCTTCAGAAGGGACTCCCCCAAGTGACTTCATTCTCAGTCCCTGGAGTAGGAGGCCACTTCAGTCAGAAGAGTAAGGAAACAGGAGGAAAAGAAAGAGGAAGTCAGGAGGTGAAGGAAGAGGAAGCGGTCGTCAGCCACCACCTACAGATACTCCGCACTAGTAAAGCTCCAACGGAGGAGAGAAGGAACCAAAGCTCATTCCAGGAAATAATGAGCGAAGACTTCCCAAGTTGGGGGAAGAAATGAATACCCAGATCCAGGAAGCCCCAAAACATCAAATCAGGTGAACCAAAAGAAGCCCCCTCAAGACCCATCCAAACAGTCACAAGGCAGAGGCGATTCCGGAAACATGAGAGAAAAGCAGTTGCACACACACGGAACCTCCCTCAGAGCGTCAGAGGGTTTTCAGCAGAACCCTGAAGTGCTGAGAGACAAAGAAGGAGGAACCTCGTGACCCAAGGCTCCCTGATGAAGCCGTCCTCCGGCGCAGACGAGATCCGGCACTTCCCAGGGGGGCCAAGCTGCGGCACTGTACCAGCGCTGGTCTGCCCCGGAGGGGGTCTGCAGGGGAAACGGGAGGATTCAGGTCAGCTGCAGGACGGCACAGAAAGTCCGAGTGGGGCCGACGAGGCCTGCCAACAGACCAACCTCAACACTGCCCAGCTGTGACGGCAGCGGGCAGGTCACTCTGGACCCCGGTATAAAAGTTACAGTGCAAACCCAGTAAAATGACTGTGACTTTAAAACCACTGGAAGATAAAGAATATCAATGATGCCAATTATGACAGCCACCCGGGTTGGGCGGTAAAGCATAGAGGATGCGATGAAGCCCAGTGGTTACCAGTTAGACTTCCGCAGCCTTAAGGTGTTTTGTGGGTCCCAGGTGAACATGCCAAAAGAAAAATGGACATGTAAGACCCACAAAAGACAGGGAAAGGAACCTGAGTACAGACAAGCAGCCACCGAGTGCTGAGGCAGACGGCACGAGAGGAAAGGCCAGAACTACCACAAAACCAGCCGAGAGCCCCCAGCGGGTCGAGGTGGACACTGTCCATTGACCAGCGCGTCAGCCACAAATGGATTAAAGGTGGCGTGGCCGAGGGGGCACCAGCAGATGCAGATAACACGAAGGCCCAGAGTGGCCACACAGGCACGAAGGTGAGGCCCAACTCCACGCTGTGGACAAAAGCTCCCTCATGTTGAAGACACACAGCCGGACAGCCAAGGGACAGAGCCCACAGGTGGCTGTGTTTACATGAGACACAATGAGCCTTCCATCCAACGACCACGAGACAGACCCTTAAGGGTAGAAGGGTCGAGCCACCAGGAGGCTGTGACTCTTGACATATCGTGCACCCAACAGCAGGACACACGAAGACATAAACAAACTGAATGAATACCAGCAATGCGGCCGCACCAGGTCCTGGGGTGCTCCACTTCAAGAGTGGACAGAACGTTCGGACAGGTCAATAAGGAATACAGACGGCAAGCACCTACCAGTCTCACAGAACCTCCTGCCCAGAACACAGTTTCTTCCCAATTGTACATGAATTTTTCCCAGAATAGTTGATGTATTTGCTCAAAAACAAGTGTTGCTTAATTTAAGATTCTAATCGTAGCAAATATATATTTTTACTACAGTGGAATGAAACAAGAAATCAATAGCAAAAGTAAAGCTAAAAAATTTACAAATATGTAGAAATTAAATAGCACACTCTTGAACAATTATCAAGTCAAAGAAGAAATCAAAGAGAAATAAAAATGATTCTTGAAGAATGAAAAAGGAAACAATCATACCAAGCTTAGGTGATGTTGCCAGAGCAGCACCAAGAGGGAGGCTCATGGTGAAATGCTCTACATAGGAAAGGATCCTAAATAAGCAACTTGATTGACACTTCCTAGTGCAGTAAAAAGAAGAACCGAGCCCTACGTTAACAGAAGGAAGGAAATAATAAAGATTAGAGCAGAAATAATTGGAATAGAAAAAATGAACAAAACTAATAAAGCTTCTTCTAAGACAAAGGAAATCGAGAGAGTGTTTGCTAAAATAAGGAAGAGGGTAAGGACTCAAATAAATCAGAAACTAAAGAAAAGAGGTCGCATCTGCTGACACAGAAAGAAAGCGGACTACCATAGGCTACTACGCACAACACACCAGCAAACTAAGCTGGATCTCTAGAGACACTCAAGTCACCAAGACTGAATCATAAAATCATCTAACTGCTGCAAACCAAAAGCACAGACAACAGAAGTAAGCTAATAAGTAGAACTACGTCAAACTGACAGACTGAATGATGGAGGGGTCACCAACTTGGCAAACAGCGGACCCATGGAACGGGAGAACACAGGTGCCATCTGTCTGATAAGGGCTTGATCTTCAAAGGACCTGACGAGTCGGACAGGTCACAGGTTATCTTAAAACACAGCCTGGTGTAACCCTGAGTAAGGCCCTGGGTAGACTGTCCCCTGAGGACACACAGATGACCAGCAGCTCCAATCATCTGGCGAGTCCAAGTCGGAACCTGACGAGGTGCCTTCCCGATTGGTGGCCACTCCTCTCTGGTCCTCAGGGCCCTTCCTCTGTGCAGGCTGGTTCTGGCCGTCTCCCCTCTTACAGTCGTGTGGATGAGGCCCACCTGTGCCCCCAAACTTCACTTCCTCTGGGGACCCAGCTCCAGGTTCAGGTGCCCTGAGGAGTCGAGCTTCAGCACAGCATTAAGGGAGGGTCATGATGCAGTCAGGAACGACGTGCAACATGTGTGTGTGAGAGTGTGTGTGTGAGTGTGTGTGAATGTATGTGTGTGTATGAGTGTGTGAGTGTGAGTGTGTATATGTATGTGTGAGTGTGTGAGTATGTGTGTGTATCTGAGTGTGTGTGAATTATATGAGGGTGTGCATGTGTGTGTGTGAATATGTGTATGTGTGAGGATATATGTGAGTATGTGAGTATATGTGTGAGGGTATATGTATGTGAGTATGTGAGTGTGTGTGAGGGTGTACATGAGTGTATGTTTATGAGTGTGTGTGAGTGAGTGCAAGTATGTGAGTGTGTGAAAATATGTGTGAGTGTGTGTGAGGGTGTGTATGAGTGTGTGTTTAATTATGTGAGAGTAAGTGAATGTGTGTGAGGGTGTGTGTGTGAGGGTGTTTGTGAGTGTGTATATGTATGTATGTGAGGGGATGTGTGAAGGTGTGAGTGTGTATGTGTGTGTGCCTGAGGGTGTGTGTGTGTGAGTATGTGAGTGTGTGTGTGCGTGAGGGTGTGTGTGTGAGGTTGTGCGTGAGGGTGTGCATGAGTGTGTGTGTGAGGAGAAGGTGCTGGGGTGCCAGGTAACAGCAAGGTTGTGAACGTAGGGTGGACAAATGGGGCCCATGGTGGGCAGACAGGCCCAGTCTTAGTGGACAGTTGGGGCTGGGGCAGAGGCCCACCGAGGCAGGTGGCCAGGGAGAGGGCGTGCGATGAAGGGGAGTGGTGAGGCCAGCACGGGGACCGGGATCTCGGGACCTCCCCAGGTCAGCATGGCACCCCCACACCTTCCTCCGGGAGGACCCCACACTCAGAGCTGGCTTCCAGGGATGCTCTCAAGAAGCTGAGCCCGAGAGGCCCTGGCCCCAGGTGCTCAGAGTGGAAGCCTGGGGCAGGCTCGGGGCTGCGAAGATGGGAACAGAATGCCCTCTCCCCACAACCCCGCCTGGGTCCACCCAGAGGCCAAGGCCTGGAGGAGGCTGTTCTGAAGAGACCAGGCGTCCTCAAGTGGCCCCAGGCGAGCAGCCGGTCAGCAGATCCGTCTCCCGAAGTCAGCCTGCCGACAGTGCCCAGGACACACAGAGCTGTGCAGGAAGGGGGCCTGCTTGGAGGGCACTGAGCCCCCAAGGGAACAGGAGCTGCAGGCCCAGTTGGCAGAGTCTGGCTAGGCTGCTGACCTCTGCCTGGACGGGGCGGAGGGAGGCAGAGCCAGGCGCTGAGGAAGGACTCCTCCGCCTTCCAGCCAGACAGTATCAGCTACCTCCACCGGTGTGAGGGCAGGAGCGCATCACTGGACGCAGAGGTGAACCCCGAAGGAGCCCGCAGCTTCCAAGGTGAGCGCCGGGTGCCGGGAGGCAAGGCGCTGGGCGTGATGAGCCTTGACCCTGGGCGCTGTTCCGGAAGACAGTGAACGGCCCCTCCTAGTCCTGCTGAGCCGACTGAGGGCCAGGCACTGGAGGCTGCAGAGGAGGATCAAGGACCAGCTGCACTGGCTCCTGATTCTGGACCCCAGGGCAGGCAGGCCACAGGGGCCTCCTGCCTCTTGTAAGTCAGGACAAAAGCAACCGAACGTGCATGGCCAGCAGGAGACTGGCCCTGGAGGAAAGAGGAGGGCAGGGCTGAGGAGGGCCCCTGGGCTTCGTCTCCAACACACAGCCAAACAAAATCTGCGATCCCCTGCTCCAAGGGCAGGCTTCCCCTGAGCAGGAGCCAGCGGCCAAGCCAGGATGACCCCACAGTGGTGTCGGGAGGGGGACTAACTTCTCCCCGGCAGGTACGCCTTGATTTCAAGGAGGCTGAGCAGGC